TATATGTATATACAAATAAGCAGATCCTGCCTTTGCTAGAATTTTAACTCCCTGTGCACTAGAGGGACGGTGACCTTTTGCTTTTTAAAGGTCATGATGTGAGCGACACCATCGCACCACAGGGGTAAATAATGAGGTGGCATTCAGGGTGCACACTGGACTTTTATGGAGCCACACTATATACAATAACGACTGTCCAAGCCAGGACATCACCTGGAAGTAAATAAATACCATCTCATTATAGTTGTGGCGAGTTTAAAGTGAGAACAAGTGGATGGATTGATGAGCTCCCTGGAGCCCTCATACTGACCACTGGCAATCAGAATTAATGCGTTCTAATCAATAAGCTCACCAGGTGGGCTGAGGTGAGATGAGGAAGCTATTTTTAGATGAATCGCTCCTGCTGCAGGTTTAAAAATACTTAATTTTCTTATATTGTGCAGAAATATTTGTAGATTTTGAGCTCATTACTGATGAACCCTCTTTTAGCTCTGTCTGTAACAAATGTAAATTACATTCATAACTCAAATTTTCATGTAAATAAATGCCTGTAAATGTGTTCCAAAGTAAATGTAATGAAATTATCTCAATTAAAGGAACTCAATATGGCTCCATTCAGAATTATAGTTATGACAGGTTTATTGTCACTGATGCTTTAACATGTATGTACTCCTTAAATTATAGCTGATAATAAATAAAAGTAGACTGAAAATATTCACTTACGTAACGAGGCAAAACTCACAGAAGGTCTAAGCAAATATAAACAGACATCAACTGTCTCTCAACATTAACCGTAACATGACAGAACGACTATATTATCATCGTGTCGCTTACAGATCGTTAAATTCTGTGTGTACTGCAATTGTTATCAAACCAGTCAACTCTTACTGCACCAGCAGGGTTTATAGCTACAGCCACCAAAGTGCTGTTTGCATCATCTGTAGCAGATGGCACAGGAGATAAATGAAGGTCAGAGGTTAGCATCTTACCATGAAACTCATAGACGAAAACTAATATAGATTGTAAACCTTTTAAAAAATAAAGCAAAGCTACGTAAAGCCACCATATTGTATCTTTGGATGGAACGCACCAAAACCAGCAACCACAGACATACTGTTTAGTTCAGCTTCTGAGGAATAGATGTGAGTGTTTATTTGGCACTTTTTAGTGTGTGTTATTGCAGCTGAATGCTTTTTGTCTGTCTTTTTGTTTTTAGCTAACTGAAAGCCGTTTAATTGATTTTAAAGTTTTCCATAAAAGCAAGACTGCTAATCATCTCTGCCTCTGTCACCAGAACTGTTGGTCCATATCAGCTCATGGTGACTTCTATGACATCAGAATGGCATCAAAATTCATTATTTGAAGGCCCTAACTGCTGTATCTGCAAAAAAACAAACAAAAAAAACATCTGAAATAAATAATCAGGGCAGCATCAAAGTCAGTCGGACTTGTTATGTGTAAGAATGCCAAAAATGCATCTAAATGTTGCTGAAATTGTTGATTTTTTCCCCCATTTTACTTATCTTAGAAATCTTCTTCTTTTCTGCAACACTTAGATGAGGTGCCAACACCCCCAGGGTTGAAACAAGGGTCTCGCAGCCAGCTGGTGGCCCTTATATCAATCACTGCATGTTACTGGCATTTATCACTTCCAACGCGGTCGTTCTGACTAAATTGCTTCTCTGAGCTGCTCCCG